TGCTATTGCGCGATAGGAAAATCCTCCTTCTCGAAGGCCGATTATCCTCCCTCGTTCAAACTCCGTAAGTTGCTTGAATTTCTTATTCTTCCGTCGTGGAGGCATACTCAGGTCTCACTAAACGTTTGCCACTAACAAATAATCATAGACTATTTTCAACGTCCCGCTACAGCACTTTATTTATACGCTTTCAGCATCAATTCAGAGGGCGCTGCGCGCGCCACGCACGCGCGATGGCTCTGAAACTTTATTAATTTGCATAATATCCTATATCCATTATTAAAATAATATTTCATTTGATTCTGATGATTCCTTCATGGTGTTGCATTTTCTACAAACAGCAGTTTATGAAAAGGTTTTCCATTATAGAATCAAGTTAACATAACTTATATACTAGTGAATTGGAATTGTATTTTTGTTGTGGTAGATACACTACAGTACTCCCACAACAAGAATTATAGCTGTGATAGAATTCGATGGATAGATACCACTAGTTGATTCATTGCTGTTTTGTGAGACGTCGGGAGAGCTGTATTAAGATCAGCGTGCTTTTGAGTGCTGATTGTGAGAGCTGTATTAAGTTCACGGTTATGCTCGCTCCTGTGTTGTCATTAGCAGTTGAGAGAATGCGTTGCACGTTATGTGTGATCAAAACTGAGTAGCAACAGCACGAGGAGGTGGATAATGTCACTATCACAAGTAGCAAGTCAACTTTTCAATGTGGATCATCCGTCAAAGTAGGCGTGTTCAAATCGAAGTGGGCTTTTCTGTCAAAGTAGACATGTTCGCATCAGGTTCGGGTCACCAATTCGGGAAGTGTTGTTATCGACACTGTCAACCTTCATCTAGGAAAAGTTACCCCCAACATGGATTCCTGTTAACATGTCTTATATACTAGTGAATTGGAATTGTATTTTTGTAGTGGTAGATGCACTACAACTATAATTAAAAAGTTAAATCGGAAAACAATCGGGATATTGTGTCCTTTTGTAAAAGTGTTGTTTCTTTTGGAGGATTATTTGTAGTTTGCTTATTTTTACTGATAAGAGGTAAAATAGTTTAGTAAGGGTAGAAAGTGAATAAAAACCTAAGCAAATTTAAAAAATCTCATTACTTAGCAGAAGCATTGCCATTCTTAAAATCAAATAGTTTAGCAAAAGAGCCAGGAAAATAGTGCAGGACTGCAAAATTTCTTTCTTTAAATAAGTATGGTTGTTAATGAGAGTGCTGATAAACAGTGACTCAAATTTATGTAATTGTTTTATTTTTATATTACAGGGATTATGTATGATTTTAGAAGCTTCAGTTGCAAATCATAGTTTAACTTTGGAGTCACAACTTGATAGCATTCTCAATGCTCTATTTCCTCAAGTATGTATGTACCCTCTGTAATGTTTTACTTGGTCTATTATTTCTGAATCTTTAAGCAATACTATACATGGCTGCAAAATGTTACAACTTAAAATCGGGTTTCAGTCTTGAAATGATTTTAAGAGCGGAAAGTAATTTTTCGTGTATTTTACATTTGAGGTATTTACATTTCGTGTATTTTACATTCACCAATCCAGCGATCTCTGGTCGATTCAAATTCTGCATTCGGCTTGCACCGACTACAGTGCTGAAGTTAAATATCCTCCGTGGTAGACGTTCGAGGGGTAGAGGCTAATCGTGCGGTGTTCTCGTGATCTTAATTGCCATTTAACGCAAATGGGGGTTAGCTTCATAAAAAAAAGTCCTCCTTGAAGGCAAATTTCTCTCACTAATCCAGGAGTTCCCTAGTCTTCTGAATTTGATTCAAAATTACAAAGCTACAGAGTTGAACATTGGTAGTCGTAAACCCGAAATTGAGTAGGTTGTTCAATGATGGTTATAAAATACCTTTTTGTAAACCAAGGAATTGCGAAGGTTAAGGAAGGTTAAGTATGATCATGACTATGTGGTCATCATTGCACACCAGCCATCTTCACTTCTCAGACTAGCTGAACCCATATAGTATTTATGCTAGGTCACATACAATAATGTGTTTTATGAGAATGGTAAGCTGAGTAATAAATCACCTAACAGACAAGATGTATAGTTAGCTATTTATTTATTTATATATATATTCTTATAACTTACATATCCTCACATGTTTAAGGAAATCATCGTAAGCTCTAAAAAGATAATTTTATTGAAAGGTGATGATTGGAAATTTCTACCATTACGATGCATGAGTTTATGGCATTGCAGACCAAGCATTTGGCGAAATAGTGCATTTGGGACTAGTGTCACTTGGCCTTATTGTTGGTTGAATTAGAATCAATCTGCGAAAAACACTTCGAAACGGAATTATTAATACGCGAAAAAATTAAAAAGAAAGGTTAATGGGGAATTTTAGGTGCTCTAGAGCGAGTGTTATCTTTTATGATTTTATAAGAATAGCCTCTTCTATTGCAATGGAAATATACTGCAACTATCTAAGAAAAATAATGTAAATATTTAATGAAAAAAGCCTAGATTTGGTCAATAGATCGTTCCTTTTCTTATTGCATGGCATTTCCAAAACACACAAATAATTATAGCAACATTCAAGGAATCGGAACTTCTTCATCCTCCTCCATGTTCACTAGATCTAGCCCTATACTGACTTCTTTAATAAATTTAGCGCTGAAAAGAAGAAGAAAAAATCCAAAAATGCTCTAAACCTGGACATTTATTGACTAGTTTTATTAACTTGTTATCGTGGTTTTATTCCACTTGCCTGAACAACCAGTGGAAAGAATATGGGTGAAGAATGGAATAGTTCCTTACATTTTTAAGCTCTCTTTTTTCTACAAATTTCCTACCTAATACAATGAGGCTACCTATGCTTCAATTTATGTGGTTATTAGTACAAATGAAAAAAAAGAACTTTGCAATATAAAGTTTTATGATCGCTTCGTTGCATCAGTATTTTATGTTACGCAAGAATTACGACCTTCAAAATTTTTTATTCAAAGCATATAAATTACAAAATCACGTTGCCTCAGCGTAAAAAACAAAATTTTAAAGGGACGCGAAATTAACATTTATGCGTTAATTATTCATTGTTTAGAAAAACGAAATTGGTTAATGTTTCAAGAAGGTGACATGAAGTTAAAAATTTTCTGTTTTGTAAACTTTTGTGCACTGTACGCTGCTTCAACTTATATTTGATGCGTATATGCAATATTTGAGATGCGTATTGTTGAACGAAATAAAAATATTAATAACCTAATTACATCTCATTGCAAATTAACATTACTTAAAACTCATGAAATTTAAATAAAAATTACAAATAACTAAAAATTTCACATGACAGTTTAAAAAAAATTATAAAATTTTGCAGTACCTTCTGGTTCAATTTCCTCTTCAATAATAGTTTTGTAGAAAAACAGGCATTTCTGAGATTCATTTGGTTCTGAAAGTACATTAAGAACGATATCTTTGTTTTTATCTTCGCTTAAAAAGTTCTCAAAGGACGAATCGTTTATGTCTATGACTAAATATTTATAAACGATGTTTTTTACACACGTTAATATGAAATCATCTGAAGAAACATTCATTTTTTGAAGAAAGGAAAACAAATTCTAGTGAAATTTGCTTTCCGTTCTGTTTCAATCATTTGTTTCAAGAATAAAACAAAATTCAGTCAGAAAGCTTTCATTGTTACCATGGAAACGAGATCTGCAAGAACTACGTGACGATTTTTTTTTTTTTTTTTTTTTTTTTTTTTTTTTTTTTTTTTTTTTTTTTTTTTTTTTTTTTTTTTTTTTTNGCAAAAAATGTAAAAAAAATGCAAAAGTCATCAAAATCCCGGCCTTAGTAATAAGAGTATTGAAAGAAAGGCGTATTCCTTCATTTGTGTTGCCATTTCATATCATTTTGTGTTGTCCCTTGTTTTAAGAACTATCATACAAAGACTAATATTTGACTTATTTCATTTGCCCAAGATAATTCTGGATAGTAAACTAATTTTAAGTTAAATGTTTCTTACATGTAAAAAAAATTCAAATTTCAACTTCAAACATTGTGCTCTGTTTTAGTTCCTTGTATTTATTAATAAAATAAAAAAAAATCATGTTGATTTTTTGCATTTTTTCTTTTTTCAAAATAATTGGAAAGGGAAGTGGTTAAGTTACTTTAATGCTTGGGTTTATAAAATATGATAAACTATCCAGCGATTTCAAATATTTCCATTTAGGGGGAAAATATTACCAATTTCTTAATAATTCTTAAATAATATTATAGTAGATCTTTATAGCACAGATTTTAAAATATGAGGCTTTGCATCATGCATTGTGTAGAAGTTTGTGTTATTTGGATCATTTTACATGTTATTAAGCTTACTTACAAAACATGCCAATGAATATCTGTAACAGATTTACTTTAAAATTCTGTAAGATAAATTCGATACAAATACTTTGAAACTCAAAAATATGCACCTTTGAAGTGGATGAAATTTTTTCCATTTACAAGTGGAATTGAATCACAATTCAAATCATCATTTAAATTTAATTCTTTTTTTTAAAAAAAAATCATTATTTAAATCAAATGTTTTTTTTAAATGTAATCACTGATGTATGAATTTACAAAGCATTGTAAATATAAGATTTAAAGTTTTTTAAATGGTTTTTATAATTTTAAAATTTATTTGAAATGTTAAGAAATTACCTTTTTTTAAAGTTTGATTTGCTTAATATATAAATTAAGTCATTCTATATAGGAATATTTGTCAATCTACAAAAAAATAAGGTATAAAGAAAGATTGTTTTTTTAAATTTCAAATGTAAATCAGAAATTTATTTTTGTTAGTTTGCCTATTTTTCAGTAGAGTTATGATACATTTTTATTCCATTTTCAATTAATTTGAATCAAGCATTTGCATGTATTATATATTATTATAAAACAATGCTTAAAGCAGTTATATAATTTGAAATGTATTGTTATGATTCATTTTAACAGTAATTCAATTATAATTACATTTGCAAAATTTAACTAATTGTAAACATAAATTTTTAAATATCTTTAAAAAGGTTTAAAAGTCTTAAATCATATGTACCAGTATATATTCCTTCAGTTCCTTAGAATTATTCATTTCATAACATAATTAAAGTCATCCTTTTAAACTAATAAGATCAGTTTTAGTCCATAAAAACCTAATCATTGGAACAAAAACTAAACAGGGTAATATTTTTTTTCATATTCACCGAATAATCCTCAGCAATTGTTTTCTTTTTTGTCAATAGCCTCCACTTTCATCAAATTTAATTTTTTGATAAATTTATATTTAAATTGCTCACTATTTTTTTAGCATCTTTGTATTCCAATCGTCTGGTTGCGTTTATGCTTCAAAGGTTGGAAAGTGGAAATGAAACTTATAAAATTGGAGCCCTTACAGACATTTGATCAACTCATCGGGTAATTCTTGCTAATTGATAATCAATCATCTTAGTTCATTTTAATATTTATTTCATTTTTAGTTAAAAATTTGATGTATATTAGAAACTCATATCTCTGGAAAGATTCCATTTATTATATCAGGCATCAAACTAGTGTTAGATTCTTCAAATAAGGTATGTCATACATTAAAGAGAAAACAACATAATAGGCATAAATGAAAAAAGTTGAAGGCATATTCCATTGTTTGGTATTATAGTACGGACCAGCGATTCACAAATTCTATGTATCCCTAGGTTTCCATGAAAGGATCACAGGAGCTATGGGCAATAAATTTTTATTTTACCAATTATGATTTTTGATCATGAATAGTCCACTGTTTATAAAATTTTTTGTTACTTTCATAAAATTTTTTAAGTAAAATGGGAAAAATATATATTGATAAACAATGTAAAAGATATATTCATGAAAATTTGGTTTTTACTACTTCCATCTAACTCTTCAATTCAAAATAAAAATTAATTCAACATTGATGAAATTTGTTTTATTGATAAGAGATAACCATTCTCAACTTTTATATCAATCAATTTTCCTTTTACGTTTCAATGAAAATCTTAATTCAGCTTATTTTATTCACTTTTAGCTGATGCATTCGTTAAAAACAAATCAAGAACTAGACTAGATGCCATTTTAGACCTGTGAACTAAACTGTCTAACATAAAACCTGATTTTAAGGCTTAAACAATGATAAGACAACAAAAGTAATTCTTCACATAAAATATTTCCAAAATAATTGGTAGTCTCTCTTTAGTTTTTTTGTTTACAACTGCTAATGAACTTTATTCGTATAGTTGAGACTTTGTCAAGCAAAGATTGATCATTTAGGGCTCCATAGCAGAAAAAAATTATAAACAAGTATTGACTTCAATTACAGACGTTAAAAATATGGAATTAATGATATAAAAGACTTAAATCTTATTATTATTATTTCTTTTGATGATATTTTAATTATAGGTGAAGGACTCATTTGTTTAAGAAATATACATTTATAAATTTAAATTTTTTGTTATAAATCTGTTGTTGCAAAGTTGTTCATTATTTTTTGAATATTAACTAGCATGATTTTTTTAAAAAAAAAGGAATTGAATAAATTTAAAAGAAGGATTTTGATTCTAATTACCCCATAATTTAAAAATTTTTTGTAATATAAGATGTGCCATTTTCTGTATTATTATTTTATATATTATTATAAAATTATATTATTATATATATTATTATTATAAGAGTTAGGAAAAATCTTGCAAAGAAAATCCGTAAAATGTCTCGTTTCAGGGAATAAGGGAAATCTTAGTAATTGTAATTGGTTTATTAAATAGGTCGTGAGAGTCCCACGAAGAGCAATAGAAAAAATGTCTTACTTTTAATTAATGCATACTTGAACCAAAAATAGATTAAAGGACAGAATGTGAATTTAAAAGTGTGAGAAAGTGTTTCGTTTTGAATAATAAATTAAGAAAAGGGTTTACAGAAAAAGAATTACATAAAAAGATTAATTGAAGCTTTTCATATGTATATATATATATATATATTTGGCTAATCTGCAAATAATTAATTGTTGTGTTGTTTCTAATCCCCAAGAGGTCCATCCTGATTAGACCAATTCCATAAGTCCAAAACTATCCAGGAAGTCTAAAAATAGATAAGGTTTTGAAAAAACCTCGTCGATCTTAAAATCGATACAGTTTCGAATATGCTTGGGCGAAGCCTGAGCAGTCCTACATTTAGTGCAAAGTCCAAAAGTCTTTTGCCCCTGAACATACGAGAGACACCTCAAGTGACCACTTGCAAAGCGAGATAAACAAGTCTGCTGGCTTCTAGGTCCCTCAAAAAGCAAGGCACTTCTAGGTAACAGGGGGAAGTGTTACAGCTTCTGTTGGCCGAAAGTGACCTGAAGCACCAAAGGTAGAAGACTGATTTAGCTCCATAGTTTTACCTGCTAGCATTAGCTGGTCATAATGGAATGGCCTTCACGCCTAGGGTGGCCCTACCAGGAGCTAAGCTCCCGACGTACTTCTCCCATTCCACCCAGTGGCACCCCCTCGCCACGGTGAGGCAGCTAGCAGGATTTGAGGGGGTATAATTAACTAAAGTGCAGAATCAAGAATTTTCTGCAATTGACCAGGGTAATGCGTATATTAATGGTTTTCCATCGTCAAAATTCAAAAGTTAGTTCCTCTCATTCTAACAATAAATTTGTTGATTGTATTTCTTTACTTGATTCTTTAGATATTGAGAAATAAATTAATTAACATTATGGTAATTTCACTAATTGTAATAATATTTTAATCTGTTAGATTCTTTATATTATAGTTTTGAAAATTATTGATGATTAATTCTATAAACAAATGTGTAGATTTTTTGATTGTAGGTTTTGGATTGTGAAAAATAAATAAATAACGTTAGTTTAAGCATACAGAAACATTGCTGTTGTTCCAACAGAGATCTTATTTTCACTTTAACAAGTGCTAAGCAGATAAAAAGATTACCTAAGTAGTTTGCAGATTGTTGTTGTCGTCGTCCACCATTAGTGCATTGGGGGGGGGGTACTNATTAATGCGTTGTGGGGGGGGGGGGCTATCTGTGGCCAAGATTTCAACTTCTGCTACACCCGTTTATGAGGAGGACTCATTCATACAACCTTAAATTCATCCACAAATCGCAATTTTGACCTGAACCAGAGAGAGATCAATCTCCAATCCAGTACCTCCAGGGGTATAATTTGTTATGGGAATATGGAGGACTTTGTGACCCAACCTTTTTAACATGCACCTGTCACCATTTACTACACGGGGACTTCGACTGGCCGGATTCGAACTCTCATTCTCACAAACGTCAGTTCAGTGCCCTAACAATCAGGCTGTCCTGGCCAGATTACCTAGGTATTTTAAGGTAACCATAAATGGTAACTAGTTAAACCATTTTTAGACATTCTTTTGGATCTCCCTTCTTAATCTGATTTCTACTCTTACGCGGTGTGATTTCTGCACTTTGACTTTCAAACTAATATTTTTGCTCACTCTTAATTTATTTGGGGTATATTTTTCTTTTATCCTATATAATTCGCCTCCTAAAATTTAAATGAAATGAAACGTGCTTCTGAGAGATAAAGATCCTTTTCACATTAGGACAAAAATTATGTTAATTATTTAACATATTGTACATGTTCTGAATGAATATCTATTAGCATACTTTCAGCACAGAAATTTGCCAACAATTATTTGGAACATATAAAACTTTCCTCTTCACATTTTAAGATAGAAATTATGCAGAGATTATTGTGCTCAGGAGAAAATCCTGACTTTTGGATTTTTCACTTGCCTTGATCCTGAAGTTTCCTGAAACCCATGGTCCAGAAGTTACCAGAAATCATTGATCACATTTATAAATAAAAATTCTTGTATATTTTATTTAAAATTATTATAACTAGAATTTACGCTTGGCATCTTTCATTTGTAAATATTTTTTTCTGATAGAATAATGAATGTAATTAGAGATAAAGTCAAACTTATACATAATTATTCATTTAAATTATGCTACATATAATTTATTTACAATTTCATGTTTTGAAAATATCAAAGATTTAAATTTATAAAGACATAAATTTTTTGAAATGCGTCATTAATGATTTTACTCAAGAAATTTTCAAGAGTTTTGAGTTGGGCTCAGAATCACCCCTGAGTTACGTTATTAATTCAACATCTAATTTCTACACTTTGACTTGCAAACTAATATTTTTGCACACACTTTATTTATTTGGGTAGATTTGTAAAACTTTCTTCTTCACATTTTAAGATATAAATTATATTGCTAATTCAACACAATTTACATGTTCTGTATTAATTTCTTACTATCTATGACGAAAATGTTTATGATCCAACACAATGTTTGCAACTCATGAAATTTAGTATTCACTTAACAAGTTTCTTTTTCCTGTTATAGATATTAAGTTTCTTTATTCACATTAATATAACATTAAATCAATAAAGTTTTTACATAGGGTTTTGCTATGTGTGTTGGCTATTGCGGATCCACACATTTGAATGCTGTTCTTGTTAAACTTGAAAAAGTCGCTAAAGATGATAAGAAAAATACTGAATTTTTAGGTTTTATTAATGTAAAATATGTTTACTTTTAAATATTGGCATAATTTTGAAATTTATGTTTCTCATACTCTGCTAAAGTGCCTTTTTTTATTGTTTTAGGAGTTTACCGGTGATGCAGATCATGATAAGCTAAAGGCAACTATTATACGGTTATGTAACTACAAAGGGTTCCATTCCAATACTGCTTACAAGAATAGAAACACCAATTCTAAGAAGCGTTTCTACCAATCTTCCAAAGTAATTTAACTCAGTCATATATTTTTTTAAACCTTTTCTATAAATACTTGTGTACTTTTTAAAAGATTTGAGTAAATGATGCATTTTTTGAATATGCTGTTGCTGTTTTAAAAATTTTTTTTTTCTTTCTGTTATTCAGAAAACTTATTTGTTAAAACTCATATAAATATTAGTGCATTCAGGTGTTCCCTTGTGTTCTGGATTGGGTTTAAAATTACAACATTAGTTGCAATTTGAACATTAGTGGAGTTGAACATTAGTTGTCATAAATCCGAAATTGGGTCGGCTGTTCAACGATGGTTATGAAATTAAATAAAATACCTTTAATGAGCGGAGATATTACATAATAATAAATTTGTAGTTTAAGAATTAAAATTCTATTTTTAAAATCAATTAAACTGCTGAAATATTTTTCATAAAATAATTCTTGGAATTATTCACACTTACTGCTATTTTCATTGTCGTTTGAAAATAAAGTTAAAAAAACAAACAAAATTGGATGATACAGGTGTATTGTATTGCATCTAAAACTGTTAGTTTTTAATTTTCAAATTAACGAAATTTATTTAAAATTGGAGTGTGTGTGAATGATACCAAGAATTACTTTTAAAACAGCCAAACTTTTTTTTTGGTCTGATTTTATGTGCATTTAAAGTCTGTAAATGTTTTGTGTGAATTAATGGAATTGTGCAAATGCATTGAAAAGAATGTCTGCCTTCAATCTCAAATGACACCTTCTTAAAATAAGTTGAATTCATTGTGGGTTAGCGAAGCAAAATAAGTAACATTTTTATTTGTAGATGCTGATTAGCATTTTGTGAACTGAATGCATATCACCGAGATTTTGTACCCACTCACGAATTTTATGTTCTATTTTATTTTTGTTTCAGGTGCCAAATTTCATTGATGCTGTCAGAAACAAATTGCGTTATATTCATTGTCCGCACACTAGAAAAGGGACTTTGAGAATCTTCCAGAATTCAGCTACTCATCACTTGCCTGCAGTTTTCATTGATGCTGTCAGAAACAAATTGTGTTATATTCATTGTCCTCACACTAGAAAAAGGAGAATCTTCCAGAATTTAGCTACTCATCATTTGCCTGCAGTTTTCATTGATGCTGTCAGAAAAAAATTGTGTAATATTCATTGTCCTCACACTAGAAAAGGGAGAATCTTCCAGGGGAGAATTCTTTAATTCACGAAAAAAAAATTTGGTGTTATCAAACTTTAATGAAGTTTTATGCAAGGTTATTAAATAGAAATTAATAGAAATCTTTTCCATCAAGATAACGTTAATAAAGCGCCGTAATAAAAAGTTTTGACAGTGTAAGGTGGTTTAACAAAAAGCGAAAACATTTTCTGCCAGTTACTAATCGACCGCAGCAGTCTTTTTAAAAACGTCTGTTCTCAGTTACACCAATCATCTATGATCAAAGTCTTTGTCGGGAAACGTTGTATTATACACGATCAGTAAGACTTATTTTATTCGATATGTGTTTTAAACTTAGTAGCTTGATAATTATAAAAAAAAATTATAGAGCGGCAATACGCAGTTTAAAATGGCAAATCTTTGTAAATTTGAGTTTTGCTTCATAGTTTAAAAATATTTTATACCTCTAAAACATCTCAAATACCCCTTTTTTTTTAAAGCATACAATACTCATAGTACCTAATGGTTGCATTAATATTTAAACGATCGCTAACGTAAAACCTTCTTTCCTACCACAATCTGTTCCATGATTAATAATATGACCAATGCTAATTGAATGAATGGCGTAAATTCTCAACATTTATTTCCCTGTCCATGTGTTGAACAAGTATTTAGATTACTCGTGATAAGACTGGTATGTCTAACTACATTAATCTTATGCCGGAATTTGAGTGTACATTCATCCCTCCAACGTTTTTTTTTTTTTAAGGAAAGATACTATTTTAACATATTTTTTCAAAAAAACGAAGTATCAATTTGTAGTGGGTAAATTTTGGATATTTTTTGATGGCTTCTCATTCGTAAACGTGTGTATCGATGGAGGTATAAGGAAAATTTTAAAAAAATGTGATTATTTTTACAAGACTTTGAAAGTTTTGTAAATCTGCTTTTTACTTTAAAAAGCAAACTCTTTAAAGAATTTTCATTTTAATTCAGATGCTTTATATGAATCTTCGCCCCGAGTAATTCTTTTTAGATAAAAAATAATTGGAAAATAATTATTTTTTGTTAGGGTTAGATAGGGTTTTAACTGTATCCTCATAACGTCCTCTTAATACAATGTATGATGCAGCAGAGTATAGAAATACCGACAAAGCATGTCAGCGTTGCCGACATGTATATCAAAACTCTATTTTAAAATTTGAGAAGTATTGTCACTCAATATTTAGAACTCTAGTTTCATTTCTTGTTTGTTTAATATATTAAAATGTTGCAAAAGTAAAATCACCTATGCAAAGATTTATTATTATCTAAATGTTTTTTTTCTTCAATTTTTTTAAAAATAGTTTTAGGCATATTGCATCTTCTTAAAAATTACAAAGACGTTGTACAAGTTTATAGATAAATAAAAATGAACTGTTCTCTTATAAAATTTCAATAATTATCTTTTGCTAGCTCTAAACCTTTTTAACTTTAATTTTTTACCCAAATAAAAATTAATGAATTTCTTGTTTTAACGATGAATTGTTTTGCTTGTTTAAAAGCTTTTTTTGATTATTTTAAACATTTTCAAATTCAGAAAGATTTTTATTTAATTTACTTGAAAATTTCTCTAGAAAATTCATTTTTCCAAAGTAACTTTTTCATTTCTAAGATTAGACCTTAGCTTTATGAGCTTAACGAATTATTATTATTAAACAATGCCTGAACTTTAAAAAATATATCAAGCTTTAAAATCGTGTTAATTTTTGTTTCAAATGTTTATACTGGTTATTAGTAATTTTTTGATCTCTAAAACTTTTTTCTTTATGCTATTATTTTTGAAAGCTAATTTTATTTACGAGTGTATATTTGAATGTAGTTATAATTATTTTAGTTAAAGGAGCATATATTTTAATTGTATTGTGTATTATAAGTAAAAGATTACAAAACTAGATACAATAGAAAATACTTGCAGCAGACATTTTCAGAATAAAACTAGATACAATAGAAAATACTTGAAACAGACATTTTCAGAAAAATGAAACTTTCCTTCAAATATCATGATCACCCCTCCCCTCACACTGATTAAAAAGTTAAAGACACTGAGTTGGGTCAATAAGCTGGATTTTTTTTAAGAAGCAAACTATTTTTACTGTTTTTTAAAACTACTTCATACTCCGATCAAACGTTTGGAATTCCAAGAATAGTGCAAACTCTGTTCGTAAACTCACTGAATGAGAGCTCGAAATTGAGTAGCTTCTTGAACAGTGTGTTTAAAGATATGCAGAATCAACTGGAAATATTGAATCTCTGAGAACTGAATTGACGTAAAAATAAAAAAAAAAGAAATCAAAAATCCAAACGTTCTGGAATATAAACAGCTAGAAAGTAACTTAGTTAAATAAGTTTTAGAGGAAAGATTTGAAAGCTTCAAATATAGCATTCACCATTTTAAACACAACATTTAGATTTTTAATTCGAAATTCGAGAAGTGTTAAAAGAACTGTAAGCATGTTATATGGATTGTAATTATTTGACAACTTAAATCTATTAGGCCATCTAAATTGTCAGATAAATGCTTGAATAGTCACGTGCGACAAGCTCAATGATTGCGCTTACAAAAAAGCAGTTTACTCAAATTGTTTAAATTGAGCTTTGAACACTTCAGAGAACACTTTGAACACTTCTCAATTCTTAGGAATAGCTCGAAAATCTGGGCTTGTGATTCGTTTTAAAATAACGAGTGATATCAACAAAAGGTTATGAGGAAGCCTAATACAAACTATCAAAAATCTTATTTCTAAGAAGTTAAACTGATTAGCTTAAACGATCAGTTCATTAGGATTTAAGGGACCATTTTTTAGTAACCAGTTCAAATTTATGCATTTTGGCTCATAAGAAGCAAAAATGATGAGGCAAGCTTCAATTTCAAGTCTCTAATGATAGTCGTCGAACAATCTTATGAAAGATTTACTACGATGTCAGAAAATTGTTGACCAACTTACTTTTGAAGAAAAAATACAACATTCGCACAGAATTTGCCCTGAAAATTGAAACTTCAATCTCAAATGTCAAGCAATTCTATTCCAAGCATATGTGCCAGTAACTAACTCGCAAAAAAAAAATTGAAAGCGAAATTATTAGTGAATACTGGTTAAATGAAACAAAATGAAGTAACTGATTATTTGAAGTTTCAGAAGCTTGTATGGTAAAATGATTCTTAGCGATATCTACCAGAGCTCAAATTTTCGTTACACGTGGATTTAAAAAAAAAAAAAAAAAAAAATAGGAGATGGAATTAGCAAAGAAAGAAGACTGAGTTCCCGCTCCAGTCCCATAGCTCAAACAACTGAGAAATTGGTCACAACCAATGCTACTGAACCTGACCAATACTTGGAACCTAGTGAGGAGCCTTCGGCCTCTGAGACAAAACCCCAGGCAGAAAATCCTAAGGAACCACCTATCAGAAAGAGAAAGAGGAATAATAAGAAGAACTCAACTAATGTAGACTCAACAAAGCATACTAACTGTTCTTCTGACCCTCTAAATTCGCCATATCTTGTGAACTTAGGACATTATAATTTTGGACTTACTAGATTCGATGAATCGGTTAGAAGCGCTTAACCGAGATAACATCTATTTCCAGCATGGAACAGGTGCCCATTGAATGGGATGATGGTTTTATC